CCTATGCGAGAAACTTGTTAAGTGGGTCTTGCCCCTATCTATCTATCTATCTATCTATCTATCTATCTATCTATCTATCTATCTATCTATCTATCTATCTAGGCAGGCAGGCAGGCAGGCAGGCAGGCAGGCAGGCAGGCAGGCAGGCAGACATAAATATAATAGATAGACAGACAGAGAAAGAAAGAGAGAGCAAGAGAGAGAAAGAGAAAGACAGATACCGTTGAAAAATCTTTCTCCAATCTTTTCTGCAGGACCAGAAAGAAACATTTCTGACTAGCCATGTTGGCAGAACATCTATGTATGGCTAATTCAATCATGTCTTATTCATTTAATCTTGTTTTCTAGTTAACACAAAGCATGCTGACTTATTCATAGCAGCACACATCCCTACTAGAGTTAGACTTGGCTGTTTTGCCAGTAAAAGTTCTACTCCCCATGTTTTGAAAACATTATAGTTTTAAAAAGCTCTGGAATAAAAGCATCTCTATTTGGGAAAAGGATACATTGGGGATTGAAGTCTGAGGAGAAGGAAGAAAAGCCTGGGGAGATACAGGTCAGGCCAGGTCAGGCCAGAGAGTGAGCTCTTCCCACCCTTCTTGTCTCCTCCTGACTGTCCACCATACATAGGCTTCTGCTCTTCCATCAAAGGTGGGGGGACTCTGGGTCCAACCTACCAGGGCTTCATCCTCTTCCATGCTGTGGAGAGCAGCCCCCTTGGCCGAGAGGACCCAGGCGAAGAGCTGGAAGAGCAGAGTCAGCCATGGGAGCTTCATGTCTGGTTTCCTCACACGCCAAGCCAGAGGCAGCTCTTCAGCACTGCTCCCCAAGAAGATCCACAGAGCACTTCAACAGCTGCTTCCCACTCTGGATTTCAGGCCAAGCAAATCAGAACCTCGTTCTCCACCGTCTCTCTTCCCCTCCAGCCCAAGTTTTGCTCTGCCCTCCTTGATCCCTCAATCCATCGTATCTTCCCTCCCCTTTCCAAAGTTTATAAATCAGGCCAAACAGTGGAGTGAGTCACTTCCAACAGAAACATGTTGCAACCACAATACCCCCCCTTTTTTTTGCAGAATATTAACTCTTTGCAGAATAAACTTTCTCTTAAAGTGACAGCTCCTTGTGTGGGGACCTTCTTTAAACTGGTCAGCTTGATGACCCTCTGGTTCCATGGTCTGTACAACAGCGTGTGGTTCAGAGGCCGGAATGAGGCCCAGGTTGTTTTCTCTGATAATGCTTAGTTGCTAAACTAAAAGAAAAAATCTGGGAGAAAAATCGCTTTAATTACACAGCTTGTTTTAATCAAATCCAGAGATTCTGTTCCTTTGGAGAAATATAGCAATACCAGAAATGAAGCCCATGCAAAAGCCTGCCTAGGAATAGCAGGCCAATTCAAGCCTTTCCTTGATTCTTGCTTCCTTCCTCCTGTTACCAATCCCACTTAAACAAAGAGCAAAGCTAATCAACTTTCAGCTTTATTTTGACCTGGAAAATTTGCACGTTCTCATAGTGCTAAGAAATATTAGCTTGGCTCAAATATCAAGAGTTGCCCAAGTCTTAAGTAGCATTTAATGCAGGGATGGGCAATCTTTTGGCAGTCCAGGTGGCACACGGCATTTTGGGAGAGGAACACTGAGGGCTGAATATGGCCATTCAATACAAGAATTAATGTATTAATGAGTTGACATTCTGGGGGTATTTTTTAACAGTGATGAGCAAATCTTAAGGTTTAACCTATAGTTCCTATGTGTTTCCCAACTCAAAATGATAGCAAACTGCTGCCAGGTTTCTGTCATATGGTCTCAGGGAACTCTGAGGATCTCACACACAAAATATAAAATAAACTTCAGTGCTGCCTGTGGTCCTAGGGCCACCTACATCCCAACATGATTTAGAATATTGTATATAGCAGGCATAGGGAAATTGTGGCCTCCAGATGTTACTCAACCACAATTCCCTGCATCTTTCACTTGGAACATGTTAATTAGGACTGAGGAAAGTTGAAGAAGATGTCTTACTCCACCGATGATTCACTGATCCAAACTCAAGTTCTTCGAGTTTATTGGACAGTGTGCATACATATGTGTGTGTTTAGAACATAGAATCATGTAAACATAGAAAAACAGGGTTGAAAGGGACCTTGGAGGCCTTCCAGTTCAGCTCTAGTTCAAGCAGGAGAACTTATATCATTCCAGACAAATTGTTCTCCAGTCTCTTATTGAAAACCACCAATGATGGAGCACCAACAACTTCTGAAGGCAAGTCCTTCCACTGATTAATTGTTCTCACTATCAGGAAAAAAAATTCCTTAGTTCCAGGTTGGATCTCTCTTTGATAAGTTTCGATCCGTTACTTCTTGTCCTGCCCTCAGGTGCTTTGGAAAATAGGTCAACTCCCTCTTCTCCATGATAGTCCCTCAAGTACTGGAAGACAGCTATCATGTTACCCCTTAGTCCTTCTCTTTATTAGACTAGGTACACCTAGTTTCCCCAACCACTCATAGTATGGTTTAGCCTCTAGAACCCTTATCTGTTTCTCTTCTGTATACTCTTTCTAGAATCTCAGCATCTTTTTTTTTTGTGGGACATTATCAATAAATTTAAATCAATGAAAAGCCTACATACAGATACAATAGGTCTGTCTCTTGGAATTAAATATAATCCATTTATTTCGTAGTAAACCTTGCCAAGAAAACTGCAGGGACTTAACCAGGCAATCTTTGAGAACCAGACACAATTTAACAGAAGAAAGAAAAATAGCACTGCAATATTATTCTCTTTTGATTCCAGGAGTGTGAAGGCAATTGATACAATAATCTGGCTCCCTAAATAATTTGATTCAATCGTGAACAAATGTTTCCTTTAATGCAACTCAATGTCCCTTTCTAATTTCTAAGCAGATTGTCCCTCCCATGTTCCCAAAAGGTATGTTTCTATCTATATTCCACAGCAAAACTTAAAAAGAAAAAAGACAAAAAAGAACAGGCAACAATCCCAGATTCCTTTTTTTCCGAGCGATTGCAATAAAGAAGAAAAATACAATCCAGGATAAATCATAAACAGAGCTCTATCGGTTCTCCCCATCCTTCATGCCAAATCACTGACATTTAACTTTATCTTAAGGATTTCATGAAGTTTTTTCCTCCCTACAAACCTACTGTGCAGACATACATATTTAGGGAGATCTGTGAATCAACTGCCAGCACACCAATTGACACAAACAAATGTCAAAGGGACACGTTTCATTGCCGTCAGATAATGTGACTGATCATGAGTCAAAGGATACATATTTTTGCGCAATGATTCAACTGCTGCTGTGCAAAGTGTTTGTGAGGCTTGGTTTTCATGATGCAAGCCCATCCTTCATGCAGGTTGACATCCTTCATTCAAAGCAATACATGTGAAACTATTTGTTCACTTCTGGGCACCCTATCTTGAACTTCTCAAAACTGTGGAAATATCCAATTTGACTGATGATTAATTGTGTACTATCATGTCATGGTCAACTCTTTGAGATCACATAGATTTTCTCCACAATAATTTGTTCCCAAGACTCACTACAACACCTCCCACACCACCACCACCACTGTAACTGAATCTATCCAACTTTTCGGCTGATTGTCCTCTTTCCTTCCACCTTTCCCAGCATTAAAGCTTTTTCCAGATCTTTGCATAATGTGTCCAAAATAGGAGAATTTGATCTTGGTCATTTGTATCTCAAGTCAGAACTCTGAATTGGATTGTTCAATGATCTTTTGGTTTATTTATTTATTTATTAAATAAATTTGTATGCCGCCCAATCCTGTAGGACTCTGGGCGGCTTACAGAGACAAGATAAAAAGTTAAAAATTAAGAGTAAAAAATACAGTTTTTTAAAAGTAACACACCATCCATTCTGTCTAGATGGGGCTGGACATTGTTCAGCAGCCATCTGTTTTCAGTGAAGGAAAAACCAGTGATAAAAATATTCTTTCATCATTCTCTTTCTCTCTTCTGTCTATCTTCACATTAATATTAAAATAATTTGAACGGATATTGGGCATCTATTTTATAAACCATTTATCATTTCCCATTGTAAGGTGGCCTCTCTTCTTAATTCCCTCCACGAAACCAACTTGACTGGCAAAAGTGTTCCTGTAGCATTTCCGACAGAGTTGCCCCTTGAATCTACCAGGTGAACTTAGAAGAGACAGAACAATTGTAGATGGTGCGCAGTGCTCGGGCCAGTGTTGTTCTATCTCAGCACCAGCTTTTGAAGGGCATCCTGGACAATTTGAAACAAATAAATAAAATTTTTAATTCACTTTCCATATAGGCTAAACTCTTTTCAAAAACCAGCTTCCCATTTCCAAGAATTTTCCCCAGTTAGAATTTTCTAACTAATCAAAAGTTATCTGCTGGCACAATTAGTAGCCCCCAATGTTTATTTAAGCAAATCTTATTTATCTGATTTTTTAAAAACCTATTGTTACTCTATTCAGAAAATTTATTAAAGCATTGTTAGCCGTCTACAATTGTCCTGATAAGTGGGCAGTCAGAAGGAAGGGGAAGGGGAGGGAGGGAGACAGGCACTGTCTGCAGTGCATCACAGCCTACTTGAACTTTTAGTCAGCTGACCTCAAGGATTGCTTTCTAAACCATCAAATTATATAAAATACCTAGTTTGCTCTTAGAACATACCACTCAATATGAGTAATTTGTAATGGAGAGAAGAAAATACTATTTGTTCTCTTGCTGTTTTATTCTGCGTGTGCCTCATTCTCTGGTCTTTGGAATTTTAAAAGGTGACCTCAAACTACCTTAGACCACACAACTACAGCTTCTACAGCTTCTGGCCACTTGGAATGCAGTTGTTCCCTGAGAAACTGGATGGGGTTGGCCCTTTTTGAGGCTTAACAGATGGGTGAGGAAGTGCACTTATTTCATTTGTGTAGCACTTCAGCCAAGAACTTGACTTGCCATCTCATGAACTGGGTGCAATTTTTAAGTATTTGTGCAAAGTTGAGAAAAGAAACTAGTTGAGACGCATTAATGAAGTAAAGTACACAATTTCCATCCACATGCCACATGAATGGAGGCAGCAACCAGTGCTTTGGGAGCTAGATAATATGGGCAAATTATGTACACCAATAACCATTATTTGCAATTAAGAACTAGACCCGCCACGTAGGAATGTAAGTAGACAACTACAAACAATAAATACAGAAATGCTTGTCATTGTTTCTTGAGAACATATAATGCTGCATAGCTAATTCTTCCCATCCACATTGCAGATGGATAGAGACACAGACATAGTGCTGAATTTTACATTTAGTGGGAGCAGTTCCTGTTCTTTAATTAACATTTGGCTTAAACTTCAGAACTGGTCAGAGTTGGCCTTCAGATCAATAGCAGCCAGCACTGGTCCAAACCCTTGTGGTTAGAGACATGTGTCACAGCAGACCAAGGACCGTTTGAGAGTCCTCATCCAACACAGGCCAGCAGCCACGGGGAAAGACAGTGATACACAGTGGACAGACAGCTAAGTATGAAAGAGCTACCTGCCTCAGGGAAGCAACTCAGGATGACATCAGAGTCAGAGTAACCACCCAACACCTCTCACTTTTATATGCCACTTGATTGTAGGATCAAATATTTTTCAGAATCGCAAACCCTGAGAATGGCATCGAGATACTGTGGCAGATACCCGCGGGGAGAGAGGGTGGGGCAACCCAGCTTGCATTACACTGCCACAGGCTTGCCATTGCCATTACCGCACAACATTCCCAACAAAAATAGTCCATGGGCCTGGGAAAGGATTAAAATCCATGGAAGAGTTCCCGAACAGGCCCCACCACATTCTGAGGTCCATTCGTTTATGCGTTTTCTCTTATCCCAGCAAGCCAACCATATGTAGCACTTTAATACTGAGCAGCAGCAAATTAATACATCACCTAGTCTTATTTTCTTTATCTCTTCCCTAATCTTAACAACCTGTTTCAAATGAACATCTGGCTGTTGATGTAAGATTGTTCTAATCCCCCCCGCCTTTCTGGAGCCTCTAAAGGTGGCTGAACTC